TAATGACGCCGCGGGGTTACCAAGGGTCAGGGACACTAGCCAATCCTCCTCTCGTGTCGCGGCGGGGTTACCAAAGGGCGGGCTGTATTAACGTTTGAAAGTGATGGTTTTGAGAATGAAAATGGGGAGTGTCATTGACATGCATTGCATTGTTTATAATTGGAATTGAATTGTATGTTGTATTTGATCCCCTACGCTGTATGATCCCTATCTCCCATTGGCCTATGCTTTACTTGAATTCACAAGGACACAAGATTTGTGTCTTAAGTGTCTCTGCTGAGCTATATGCTCACCCCTATATCTATATATTTTTTTTCAGGTCTTGGAAAAGAACCGGTGGACGACAATCCACCCCAACTTTGAAAGTTGCTAGAGGAGCATTTTCCTTATTATTTTGTAATAGACTACTCCTTTGTTCATCCCTCATTTTTTGTAAAATTCCAAAGGTGTAATGATGTAAATTTCTTTTGAAGAACCATGATCATGTAATACACTTATGATACTTGATGACATATGGGATGCGAACTTGATGATATGTAACTTGTTGATGAATGGAAGGATAATCCTAGCTTGAAGCATTGTCTAGATTAGTAGGTTGTATCATTATCTTTTATTGCCGTGAATTTGGAAATTAGTTGCATGACAGGTTAAATATGCATTTAAACAGGTTGCGGTAGGTCCATTTTTAAGGGAGATTATGCCGAATTTTTTTTTAGAAAAATTCTTGGCATTAGTTTTGGGATCGTTACAAAAAATTTCACTTGATGATAATTTTAAAGAGAGTACAGCCAATACAAGTTTGAGAAATCCCGAGTTAAATGTATAATAGTTTGCATCTCTGTATGATATTTATCAAAGAGGTCACCATCAACATGGGCCCTAATGATAAAAATGAAAACCAAAAAGCCCTTATTTTTTTTTTTTTTTTAAAAAAAAGTTCATCTAGTGATGGACCAAGTGGAAAGTGGACCCCTTTACAAGTTTTGAAAGGGTCTTTTTCTCATCTTTAACAGTTTTTCCCTCCCTCTCACTGTCAATCAATCGATTAATAATGAACTTCGACCGACCAAATTCTTTCATCCATGTATAGCTTTGAAATCTTATGCATTATAAGTGGAATTTCACTGCTTATAACTTGACAACATTGTTTTCCTTTTAAAAGCTAAAATTTGAATTTCAACACTCTATGATTAAACATCCGTTCTCATGCATATACTGAAGGTTAATCAGAGGACATTTGATGTCCTTAAAGGACATCGACTATCCACTTAATCCACACAGAGAGAGCGAGTGGCTCCATGCTTTAACTTTTCTTTCCAATCCAAAAAGAGAACCTTTAATCTTCTCATATGGCATTGCATGAATACATTATCATTTGTTTGAATGAGCGCATATAGTGTTTGTCTGCTTTATGATACCAATACTTCCCCCACTATATATAACTGACTATATCAGTCAAAGACACAAGTCACAACCTAACCACAATATCATAAAACACCATGCTAATTAATGATCAGCGTAAATTATGAATGTTAAGGAAGGAAAAATTTTGAATCATCATAGTTTTGTAAGAAAAAATTGATACTACTATGTTTTTGATGAACAATAATAGTAATAATAATTGCAATAATAGAAGGTCTACTCATATAGACCTTCAAAGCAGTTCAATTTTACATTATTTAAAAATCACCAAAAAAATAAAAAAAATAAAAAAGAAAAAAACACTGAAAAGTGAAAAGAGTTATCACAAGGCTACAGGTATTGACAGTATTATTATAAAATACTGTGAAAAATGAAATTAACAAAGAGAATATTCATAAAAATACTCTGTTTGCCCATACCCAAGGCTTGATTAAATGCATTAAGACCTCTTAAGTTAAGGTTAGCCATGTGTTTAAAAAAAAAAAATAGGGTAAAAATGAAAAACAAAACAAAGAAAACGGGAAGAAAGAAAGAATAAAAATAGAGTGTCTTAAAAAGCAAATATTCTCTTTACACTTTTGATAAGCAAAAGCATGTGGGTTTCTGTAAAGGATTCCTAGATCCAATTATATCCTCCTTTGAATATAAAGATAAAACAAATGTACCTCCAGGAAATCTTCAACTTTCAATATGACAAAACCTTCACAATTAATCAACTTTTAAACCCTAAAATCAATGTTTTCACAGCATTAATATGTTTAACCCACATTTCATGATCCACCACTTATATTGAAATATTATTCATAGCCCTTTGGGAATTTAATATCATGATATAAGACAGATATTCTATTCCTAATTCTTTAGCATAAATCCCATCTGGTTAATATATATGGGAATTAACAAAGGAACGGGACAGCTATATTTCACATGAACTCTGAATTGATTTTGAATTTGGGAACATATATGTCATGCTTTCGAATTAGCAAATATTTTTGGGACAATGTAATTAAAACCACCACAAACAATTAGTAAACAATTAGCTTTAATTAAAATCACCACAAACAATTAAACAATTAGCTTTCCCCTCATTTTCAAAGTAGTAAAATACAACCAAAGAAACAAACATACCCTGGTGACAATCTTTGCTTTTCCCAAACCCTTCTATTTCAAATGTCCATACACATTAATGTTACTTAATTAGGCCAGTCAAACAACATGTTTATATATATGTGTGTGTGTGTGTGTAATCTGTGTTTTGTACTCCAGAGAGAGAGAGAGACATGAGTGAAACTTGGGTGGGAGGTTTTGAATAGGAATCTGACAATAATTTATTCAGTAAAGAGTGAGGAGGGCCTTAAAAGCAGAAGCCTTTGGGTTGGGACTAGTGTTGGGGAAGGAGAGAATATTCTGGGGACACCAAAGTTCAACAGCTAAACTCCAAAGATTATATACTAAACAAAACAAAGTTAGAAAGCAAAAACATAATTAGACTATGATTAAGGGGTAGGCAGGAAAAGTCAGCCCACAAGGAGACGACTGCTCCAAACTTCCAAAAATTCACTGCCTTTGTCACCTCTCTCTTTCAATTCTTAGTACTGGTATACTATGGTCACCCCACCCTAACCTTGTAGTAGCAAATAGGGCATCCTGCTTTAATTAAGGGCACTTTAATCCCCAATATCAGCCAAGAAGCAGTCATTGTCATGGACCAGCCCAATTATGTTGAACTAGTTTTAGTAATTTTTTGATTCCACACATGACATGACATTGTTTCAATGTATTGAGAATATATATATATATATGTTAGATAGAAAGTAAAATCCATATAGAATGTTTAACTCCAATCAACACATTCATGCAGCTTATGTTTCAATCCAAGCCCTAGATTAACGTGTGACTCAAACCCCTCAACGAAAATTAAGTACACTTGAATGATGTGGAAAAAAAGAAGAAGAAAAAAAGAGAAGATGACATAAAGTGGCTATATCTACCATTCAAGGAATCGAATCCAACAATCAAACTATCTACAGTTTTTTTCATATGGAAGTTCCTTCATATCATATGTGCCTATATAATCAACTTTTATAGAGGAAAAAATAATAATAATAACAATAAATTCATAAATAAATAAATGTTGGTGTGATATGATGGGCAACTTGGTGATTCATCTATTAAAGTACTTTCAAATATGGGGTGGGACTACCTTGGTTATACTGTCATAAGGATAATTAAAATAAAGAAATTAGGCGAACTCATGTTTATGTGTTCTCCTACTAGCGACTTTAATCTTCAATTGCTTAGGAGAGTGCCATATAGCAGCCGTCTGATTTGAACCTACACAAAAGCATGAATAGATGTAGGCCATCAATCAGTAGTCTAAATGCTTTCTTAATCAATCACTTTTAAGGATTAAAGGACGGTTGCAATGAATTTGGTAACATAATCTGTTTAAGGATGCTTCCCATTTTTCCTTTAGTCAAAAGCAGCATAATGAAAAAAATTCACTTTTGTGGAAAATGAAAAAATAAAATAAAAAATCTGTGATTCAATGGGAAAATCAATGACACTCTGTTTTGCTTTTATTTTTTTCTTTCAATAAAGAATAATTTTAACGTCCATTCAAAGCACATGATGGGAGCCAGAGAGTGGTTCTCAACATGTATTCTACGGATGCTTGTATTTCGGCCAGAGTAATATTGTTCTTTTACCAAAAAAAACCTTTAATTCTGGGGATTTTCATTTCCATTGAATAGCTTTACCATGACTACTGGTGGCTTATTTCAGGAGATTTTGAAATCCATTGAATTAGAAAAACCAAAATGAGCTGCACAATGTTGGGTGTTAGCCTTTTATATTAGTCCATAAAACATGCATACTACTAGGTTTTTTGCTTATTAACACTGCTATTTTCACCCAAGGGTTGGTCTGAACAGGTTAGGCCTGTCAGCCCATAGATTACCATTTTTTTTTTTTCATTAAATAATGGTTTATATAAACCATTGATATGGAATTGCTTATCTTCCTTGGGAAAAAAAAAAAAAAATCGAAAATACATGGAATATAGATATGACACAATATGTGCACAATCATATGTTATTTTAAAATTAAAAAAAAAAAAAAAAAAAAAAAGTATAAATGCGGATACAAAAGTAACTAGTATATATATATTAATTTTGTTCAAGCCAAAGAATTTCTAATTCAATAGAACTTTTTTTTTTTGGAAATTCAATAGAACACAGATTATAATGTGAAAGAGATACAACCTACATCTAAAAGTAGGGCTAAAAAGTAAACAAGCAAGCATGTATATATAATATATACAATTGTGTGTATAGACTATATAGTCAAGGATAAACAGAACTACGTTCACATTGTGTGGGGTTGTTGCATAAAATGAAACTGAATTTTCAATTAAAACAAATAGGATGTCTAAATGTGGTAATTGGAAGAGAGCATAGGGTAATATATATATATATATAAAAACAAAAAGTATGGGATAATCATTCCAAAGGGAAAGGCATGAAGCTTCACTTTTCCCAGATCGACCTCATCATATGTGTCATCATGCACCTTTGAGGGTTTCTTTGGCCACCTCCCCTTCAACCCTTCCTCTCCCTTCCAACTTTAACTTTTCACCGCCTCTTATCAATCAATATATTACAGTATACTACTACTATATATATATATTCTAACCAAAAGCAGTTAAAAGACCACAACAAATGAGAGACTTCTACTAATTTTTCAGCTACTGATTCAGATCTTAACATGAAGGTTCACTTCTGATACTTCCCTTTATATGTGTCTGAGAGAGAGAGAGAGAGAGAGCTAAGTTTCCATATATCAGGTTCTGTGGTCACCATAACAAAAGGTATCTTTCTGTTTTTCACATATTTTCATCTCTAAAACTTGTATATAGACTTCTGCTTTAATGGGATTTTTCTCTGTAGATTGAACCAGACAGTGAATATGTTAGAGAAAATGGCAGAAGAAGCAATTCCAAATGGTTTTATTCAAAACCAAAATGGTGGATCGAATCCTCCCACCATAAAGAAGAAGAGGAACCTCCCAGGAACTCCAGGAAAGTCTCTGTCTTAATTTTTAATCAAATATAGCTTTTCTTGTAACTTTCTTTCTTTCTGTCTAGCTTTATCACCATCATGAGTATATCCATATATGAATATTCAAGATTATATATATTAATGGATATACTTTAATTCTTTACATACAGATCCTGAAGCCGAAGTCATTGCCTTGTCACCAAAAACTCTAATGGCCACCAACAGGTTCTTGTGTGAGATATGTGGAAAAGGGTTCCAAAGGGATCAAAACTTGCAATTACATCGCCGTGGACATAACCTTCCATGGAAGCTCAAGCAAAGAACCAGCACAGAAGTGAGGAAGCGCGTTTATGTGTGCCCTGAAAAGAGCTGTGTCCATCACCACCCCTCCAGGGCTCTTGGAGACCTTACTGGTATAAAGAAGCACTTCTGTCGAAAGCACGGGGAGAAGAAGTGGAAGTGTGAGAAGTGCTCAAAGCGATATGCAGTGCAGTCAGACTGGAAAGCGCACACAAAAACTTGTGGGACTAGAGAATACAAATGTGACTGTGGGAATATATTTTCAAGGTAAGTGCTGTACTAGCTACTTCTTTTTCTTCTTTTTTTTTTTTTCCCTAAATCTGTACTAGCTACTTTTTTATATAGTTTTCAGAATAACAGTTCAATGAAATAGAGGTATCATTCAATCACCTGCAAAGAACAAAAATTAAGGAGACTAATGAAGCTTGAGAGTATTTTTTATTTTTATTTTATTTTATTTCTTTTGACTGATATCTTCATTTTTACAGGAAGTAGGATGACCCCTCTCTCTGTCTCTTAAGAGCTAGAGAAAGGATATATATATATAGGTGGCCAGAGTGACGACAAATATATTGTTTAAAACTATACATGATATTCTTGATTTACATACCCTGAAATGTCTTCTTTTAAGTTAACTAGGATACCTATGGGTACTGTTTATTTTCACAATAATAATGATACTCTTTTTGTTGCTTTTCTTAATTGAATCGCGACCACTGATTGCATGTTCTCTGGCCTGCTTGCAATACCTATTTCAATTACATAAATTTGAGTACGAAATGTCCAAAATTATATACTACAATCTTTTTCATCTTATATAGAGCTATTATTTTTGGGTTATTATTGTATGCATGCTTGGATCTTTAGTTTTGATTCTTTAAGATTGATTAATTGTTTACGGATTATATATGAGCAGGCGAGATAGGTTGATCGCGCATAGAGCTTTTTGTGATGCTTTAGCAGAAGAAACGGCTAGAGTTAACGCGACATCAGACATCAAAACCACGACAGCCAGCAATATGATCAATTATCATATTATGGGACCTAGAATTGCACAACATCTTTCTTCCATTTTCAAGCCAATGCCAGGCAGTGACGGAACAATCGATGTTCCAACCACGGGGGGACTCTCATTATGGATGGGCCAAGGACCCCAAGGTCATGAAGCAATGGACAAAATTAATCTCCAAGAGAGACATCAAATTGGGACTTTGAGTTCAGGAGCAGTATATGGTGATCCAGTTGTATCTTGTTCAAACCTTTCGCCACCTGAATGTCAACTGAATTGGGTAATGGGAAGCAAACATTCGAAGAATGCTGAAGCAATAACAAGCCCTTTACTTCACTTGAGCAATGTTAAGAATGGTGAAAGTCATCCTGTAAGTGTTCCTTCATTGTACAGCACCCAACATTGCTCTCATCAAACACCTACCACGAACATGTCAGCAACAGCTCTACTGCAAAAAGCTGCCCAAATTGGAGCAACTTCAAGTACTGACACATCATTCCTAGGAAGCTTTGGATTGAAGTGCAATAACAATATTCAAGTTCAAGATGGGAACAAGTATTGTGGATTGTATTGTAGTACAAACCCTATATCCACTAATCTTGGAGCTACTTTGGAGAGCTCAGTAAATGATATCTTCACTTTGAATCAATTGCAGATGTACCCCTCAAAGCGTCGAAATGTGCAGAATGAAGATGGTACAGGAGGGAAAACTAGGGACTTTTTGGGTGTTGGTATACAATCCATCTGCCACCCACCATCAATTAATGGATGGATTTGATCATATGGGAATTTCATGAATTGCTTCTGTGTTGGAACTTGGAAAGCAAATTAGAAATTAAAGTTGGGAAGAGAGAGAGAGTAGTGTGTGAGCTTTGCAGAGAGGGAAAAGGTAGCAGTGCTTGATGGGAGCTAAAAATGTGTTTAGTAAAACTATCCAAAAGCTGAAGAAGGAGAGGAGATCTCTGCATATTCCCTCCTGAAAACTGAAAGCTGTGATCCCAAGTAGTGGGGGCAAAGGAAGAAGTTCTTTTCAACTCCATTATTGCAATGTTTCATCTTTTGTGGTGGTTTTAATCCTATCAAAATGGTGTTGAAAGTGTAATCTAGTGGCAAAAAAAGGCTTCATTCTAGTTTCAGTAGGCTTAGCCTAATGAATTATATATATATATATATATATGTAGCTCTTTTTTGTTCAACCATGCAAACTTGTAGATAGCAAGAATCATTGTATTAGCTATAAGCCTATAACAAATGCAAGAAAGTGAGGGAAGTCAATATAAGGCTTCATATTACCCCCACCCATAAATGAAAGGATTTTCTCCTTGATCATCTTTAATGTCCTTTTAATCTTTCAGCATTATAGGTCTTATAATGTTATCAACTACTGCCATGGCCTTTATTTCAGACTGCAAAGGCTTCTAGTCTTGAATCCAATTTAAGCTACACGTATATAGTATCTACGAGGGACCTCTATAATTATTTGTTTCTGAGTCAATTCCATTAGATCAAGCCACCTCTATGATTATTGTTTTTTTTTTTTTTTTTTTGAAAGGTGACCTCTATGATTATTGCTTCCAAAGGAATTCCATTAAATCACCTCTTATGCATCTTGCTTGTCATTTTGTTTTTCAACTCTGCTTAGACTCAAATGAGGAACTTTTTCCCCCATGCATTAACTCTTATCAAACTGAGATTGAAAACTTTTAAGTTTTCTTTTTTATTATTTTTTCCCCACCATAAACTTCGGATTCACAGCACATACAAATTACAAATATTGCTTAAACCAGTTTTCGAACTTGAGACTCAATACAACATTTATTTTTTCTTCTACTTTGTTTTTTAGTTTTATTTTGCACTTTTCAGGAGTAATGTTTTTGTAGCGTGTTTATGTGTCTCTATTGTGGGGAGATACTACCGACATTATAAAGGAGAAAACAGATGAAAAGGAAAAGAAAATAAAGAAGAAAGAGAAAAAGAGGCCATATTCTTGCATCTGCCTCCTCATTTGTATGCTTTTTCTTGCATGATTAGAACTAGTAGATATATATGTGATACATACTATAAGTTAGTTGAGTATACCAAATCGTCAAATCTTCCAATTAAGGTCCAAAATCAGAGCTTGTGGTATATAAAAGATAAGGTGACAAGCAATAAAGAGAAAAGGAAATGGCCGTCATCAAGTGTACTGACATTCGTTCTCCTTTGGACTAGTGCCCCAAAAAAACAACTAGGGTCTCCACGCAATCAAGAAAGCTGCAAACTGGACGGACAATGGCCATGGTTGGATTTCATTTGCTCTTTTGATAAAAGGGAATGTGAATGATATCCTCTTCAGACAGGAAGCCAAATCTGGCATCGACAACAGCCGTTCAAACAAGCTTGTTAGTTGCTCCTCTACATTATATCCTGTATATCTATGTATGAAGTTGATTGTGGTTAGTATTGTCACAATGTTATGTTCAGATACTTTTCAGCAGATAATTCCCCATATCAATTGCCTGCCTTTCTATTACTACTCATTTGGTGGTTAAGAAAACTCTACCTAAAGAAAAGTAATTTTGTGATTATAATTTGGTAGTTGCAATGCAGTTTAAGAATTCTAATTTTCTTCCAATATTCTAATTGTGACTTGAAATAGGGCTGCAAGATGGGCTGGCCCAATTCAAACCCAACTTCAACTCGCAATTAGATTGGGTTGGGCCAATCCGAATTATACATAACATAGGTTATAATCATAACTCAGACCGAATATTTTCGGATGAGTTGAGTCGGGTTGACGGGTTAAAGTTTTTTTTCTAATATAATTTTTTTTTTTCGAAAATTTATATATATTATATATTATACGTATATTATATTATATATATTTGATTATATTATTATTAAAAATATATATATTTTTAGGGCAAATCATTTCAGCCTCCCCAATTGCTTGCATCTCTATTCTCATTCTCAACTCTGAAATTGCCACCTCTCTCTCTCTCTCTCTCTCTCTGCAACTGCAAACTACAAAATCAACAAAAAAAACCCATATATTTCAGTTTATCAATCTGTCTGCAAGGATCAAAACTTCAAAACCAATTACCTATATCAAAACCCATATCGGCATATCATTTCAAATTGTTCAAAAAATCAAAACCCATTTATTTCAGTTTCCATCACCCGCTGTTCCAGTTCAGGTTCGCCGTTTGCAAGCTTTAGCCGCTGTCTCTCAACTCTCAAGCTTTGCCGTTCATTTTAGGATTGCAGAGAAGTGCATGGATGGTGGCAGAGGGAGAAAGAGAGAGAAGAGATAGGAGAGAGAAAGGAGGAAAATATATATATATATATATATATATATATATATATATTTATTTTGGATTTTGGGTTGGGTTCGGATTGAACCCGAGCCCAACCCGTATATGTCTGGGTTTTGACAAAACTCAATCTGAATATGAATTCGATTTGTGAATATAAGTCCCAATTTTAAAATTTTTGGATTGGGCTTGAGTTGGGCTGGGTTAGTCCGCCCAAGTTGCAGCTTGAAACTTGAATTCAAAATCAAAAGCAGTCTATCCTGGGCTAGGGTTGAGAAACAAAAATGTGCTCTAAAAGTGGATTCGGTAAAAAAAATGTTATTTTCATAAATCACACTTGTTGGGTTCATTCCATGAGGTTTGGTTTGTTCAAGGACTCTTTCATGGTCATGCTTCGTCCGTAAAACGCATTTCAAAGACAGCTATTAATTTTTAGAATTGAAAGAAATTTAATTAAAACTTTAAACTAAATTTTTTCAAATTTTAAATCCCAAACACCTCAACATGGTTTTATAGGGGAAATTGTTTCGCACCTGACTGTGATGGTGCCAGTAAAATGATACCTCTCCACTTTGAATTAATGAAATCACGCAATGTTATTCACAGCATCATATTTTTGCTGTCTTGCCCTATTAAATTACTGGAAAAAAAAAAAAAAAAAAAACCCTCTGATTTGCTCTGTTCAATCATTGAAAAAATCAATTATCAACGCATTATAACCCTTCAAACTGGGTTCAAATTGGAAGTTCCTGGTAGACGAACCACCATAAAAATCATGCATTTGAGAGACTAAACATTAATAACGGACGGTTCACACATCATCGCATGCATGTTGGAACAAATAAGTTGGAAGACATCATCTATCACTACCTTCCAAAATTAGACACAAAAGTTATTTGTTGAATACCCAAACTTCAATTATCAAAATGTTACAAATTCTATAATGCATGAAGATGACATTCATAAAGAAGTATTTAAGTTCACAAAACTGTTTCCTTCATTTAGAGCAAATACCACAGGAATTTCATCTCAGGGAGCCAATAATTTCTTGATCCCGGTCTTCTGCTCCGTAGTCAGCCTTGTCGGGAACTTGATGTTGAATTTGATTCTCAGATTTCCTTTATTTGAAGGATCTTTTGGGACCGGCATCCCTTCTTTTGGAACCACCTCTTCGTAACTAGGATGAATCACATTATTGATTGGAATCGTTAAACTCCTGCCATCAAGGGTAGTGAGATGGACAGTGTAGCCTGTCAAAGCTTCAGCCAGAGGTATCTTCAGTGTGACAACCAAGTCATTCCCGTCACGAGTGAACACACTGTGAGGTTTCTCATCAATGACGAAGACGAGATCTGCAGGTACTACATTTGGCTGCTCATTCCCTTTCTCCGGGAAGGTGATCTTTGTGCCTTTCTTCCAGCCAGGCTTGATGTTAATAGTTAGAATCTCCTCCACTGGCATGGACTTGCTGCACCAACAAAAGAACACACAAGTTAGAAAAATGGTTGGGCATCATAGCAACCAAACAAGGTATACCAGCAAAATGCTACAAACACAGGCTTTTTTGTGTATCTCTATGAAGTATGAACTCTAGATATCTTCTATTAGTAACCTTATGCATATATAGCTGAATGTCTCTTGAGTGTAATAAATAAATTAGTGACAGGAAAGCATCACCACCTGATACATTTTAAGGGAAATTTTTTATCACTATGGAAAGCTAATAGTTCACACGCAACGCAAAGAAACATTGCTCTGAGGTCCTAACTTGAGACATCCTTATTGTGATGTATAAGATCTTTTAATGTATTTTAGTCTGTAGGTGGAACAAAATACAGAAGCTGCTGTTTCTGAAAGAGAGATGCTCAAAAAATTTGATAAAAAGCACAAAATTTGGTATAAATTGAAGCTCAGAGTTCAGTGCCTAAAGTTTAGTTTTTTTTTTTTTTTTTTTCCTTCGATGCTACATTTCTACACAATGTTTGCTTATGTGGTTACTCTATCCCAATCCCACAACGAAGTGGTGTATTTGTTTTGCACAATTTAATCAAGCAGCAACAAACAACAATATGAAAAATTGTGCAGGAAGTTGAAAAGCACCAGGGGAAAAATGACACTTCTCCTCAAATCTACAAGTCCTTCCACTGCTGTTGAGACAACCAAACCATAGTAGGCTATCAATATCAGATTCAAAAATCATGTTTATTGAAAATCGGGGTCAACATGAGGTAAAATAATAATGAAGTAGATTTCCAAAAAAAAAAAAAAAGTATACATTATCAACCATGGAATGCCCTGAACAAGTGTGTAGAAATCTGACATAGACACAGTAAATACAAGGTCATTGATGCAATATGCATTCATACTTGAAAAGGATACAGCTCCGTAATAAGAAGTTAATATCGACATATACACAAATATTTCATTTTAGAGTGTCAACAAAGAAAAAAGAACTACTAAATTGGAACATCTCATTTCATAAAACAATATGTTGTCTTTGTTTTGATTGTATGAACACCTGGAGACTTTACCAGCTAAGGTATTATTGGGCACCGACATCCGTCACATCCCATCCCATCCTAAATTTTATACTACTAGGAATAATTTTTGAAACATATACAATAAAGTTAATAAAGAACATATTCTTATTCCTCATTACTTAAACAAACACCACCCTTCATTAAAATAGCCGAAAAGAAAAAAGGAAGAAAAAATCAAACCATAATTTGATCAAACAACAAAGATCAAAATTTCAAATTAAAGTAAAAGAATCAAAATTCAGAACAAAACAATGTTAAAGAGCAAAAGGATAGCTTAGTACTTACCCACTTGCGTCGGCAATTTCTCTGGAGATCTTCATCTTCTTTGTTGTACCCTTATAAAGCTCTTCAAGGGTACAAGGCACAGTTTGCTCAATTGGAGGGGCTTTGCGAGGAGCAGGTGGGTGCATGTGCATTGATCCTCCACCTCTTTCTCCAAAAGACCCAAAAATATCATCACCAAATAACCCACTTGAGAATCTGGACTCCCCTCTCATTCCTCCTCCACCACCCCCACCACCCATTCCTCCAAACGGGCTTGAAAAACCGAAAAACTCAGTAAATATGTCATCTGGGTTCCTAGGATTGAATCTAAATGTAGTCGGCCCGTCTCCGGTTGAGAAATAGGTAGCTCCGCCTGGTACGCCGCCATCTGGTGGAGGTGGCACCTGACCCTTTAGCCCGTCTTCACCATATTGGTCATATATTGCTTTTTTCTGCGGATCACTTAGAACCTGAAAAAGTTCACATCTCAAACAGAAAAACCCATTAATTTTAAAATAAAATCATTTCGGTGGCAATCTTAGAAACCTAAATTAAGAGGAAATCAGAGAAACCCATATAGCAAGATCAGATTTTGAGATGGAATTCGTATATATATACAATTTAGATTTTAAAAATGAGTAATCTTGCAATTGATGATGCATTGGTGAACATACATACCTCATAGGCTTCAGAGATCTGCTTAAACTTGGCTTCTGCTTCTTTCTTGTTATTGGGGTTCTTATCAGGGTGCCACTTCATGGCAAGCTTTCTGTAAGCTTTCTTCAAGTCATCATCTTTGGCCTTCCTATCCACCCCCAATATCTTGTAATAATCCACCCCCATAGCCTCTTCCTCTTCTTCGCTTTGGTATATATTTTACAATACTTCTACTTATTCCAACTTATGAATTGTTTTTCTAACGTTGCTTATCAGATTGGGTGTGTGGACGAGGTTTTGGCTTAGTCTTGCCTGGGAGTTGTGGTAGGACTTTTAGAGAGAGAGAGAGATGGAGGAGAGAAGAATGGAGAACAGAGGAGAGTTGTCTGGAAATTAAGACGAGATGTGCGTAGAAGACTCCAGAACTAGCTTTTAAACTGACCTCTGTAAGAATCTTCATTCTGACAGGTGGCAACATTAATTATAGCTCACCTCTGTACTTTTAGGAAAATTACTATTTTTACCATGAAACAAACAGTGAAAGAATAGATCTACTTATGGCTTTTGATCCATAAAACCCAAACGAGGCCCACAACAGGATCATGATCATGGCCACGTACATGCTGTGACCCACGTCTATCTGATGCCCTTTATATTAACAATTTCACACACTATATCCACGTTATTACATTGTGTAATTTGTTGGCAAAAAAAAAATTCAATTGGGCCCCTCCAAATTTTTTCAAAACATTTTTATTGGCAAAAAATAAATAAATAAAAATAGTTAGCTTGGAAACAAATATAACTTATATTTTTCAAAGTTAAATTTTAACTTGAATTGTTTTTTCCTTTAATAATATTCATATGGGAAATTTGAAGTGCTATGATACAAAAATGACAAAAATGTCAATAACAACAATAATATTATATAAGCTGATATGTTTTGGTGTTACTTGTTAGATAAAAAATTCTATAATTACTCCTTGTATAAGTTATTAAAGTGTTTTATATTTTGTTCCTAGTAATACTGTTTTATAAAAATGTGCGAGTTTTGTTTAAAATGATACTTTTTATCATTGGTCTCTCATCAAGTTAATAATTATTACATATAACTTATCATTTTTTCTTCTCTATGTGTTTTCTTTTTCCATATCACTTTTTCATCTCTTTTTATTTCAATTGCAATTTTCTATTTTTTTAATTATATTTCCCTCGGTGCATATAACAAGACTAATATCAGAGGACAAATTATAATACAATTGATTTATACTGTTTTCAAATTTTAGTTACACAACTTTAATTTGGTCCCCCCTACCCAAAATCCCTAGCTACCCTATAAGTAAGAGAATGCATCATTGCTCCATTTATATATTAAAAATAATAATTGGAAGAGTACGCGAGTAAGGGTGTGAATCTATTAAAATATATTTTATTTAATTATATTTATTAGATGGAGAATGAACAACCCATTAAACAAGTAAAAATAATAATTTTATCTATTATGTTTGTCTAGATTAAAATAGCATAGTTTATTTACGATTATTTTACGCACAATCATTTTAATAATGTTTCAACGGAATAAGAGTAAAGTAATTCCTCCACACAAATTAAATAAAGCTCGAATTATGTTCATGGTCGTAACATTGAGAAATTACTCCGACACGACTGAAGAGGACTCTTTGCATGTGGTCCCAGTATTTTAGTAACTGTTGGAGAGAAAATTTTGTTAGAAGTTCAGTTTGCATTTGCTATTATTAGTAGTTGATTTTTATTGCCAAAAAAAACCCTTTGGGTGTCCAAATAGTTGACTCTTTCTCATCGTGGAGTGGTAGATTGGTTATACCATTGAAGTATCTATCTATCTCCCATCTGGAGTTACGTGAACCCCCAAAGTCTCTGAATGGAGTTAATGAGAAGACTCAAATACAACCCCACTCTTGCGTGTAATTATACTTGTAATCCCAACAAATACCCAAATACAACACCATACAACAATTTTCACATTAGAATTTTCAACACTCTTTTGATCCATTTCAATTTCGATTTCAATTATAGGGTACTGTCATGGCACAACGCCTCCACTCATATAAGACTGATTCACCTTTCTCATCAAATTTGGAGGATGTATCTCTTTTCAATCAGATTTAATATTATCCTAACACCTAATTTCAAAACAAATCATAACTACTAGTCGTATAAAACCTTTTGATCTACGTGCGTGCGTGCGCGCGTGTGTGTCTCCAACTCCTTTCCCATTGGAGTATTTTTGCACTAGTGTATATGAAGAGGTGGCAGTGGTGGGAGAGGGTTATGATGGTGGGTGGAGAGCAGAAAAGAGAGGTGGTTTTGGTTAGGCGGCAGTGGGGTGGCGGCAGTAACTGAAGAGGGGAGAGAGAAACCAGGAGGAAGATATTTTCACTAGTATGTTGTCATGCGGTAGCCTTCTAAATAAATATTTTTTATTTTCATTGATAAGAGAGAGAAATTTTCAAAATAAATAGACAACATTCATTTGGAGGGGTTGGCAACATACCCCAGATATTGTATAACTTCCCCCAATAAAAACTAAAATAAAATTAAGGCTAAAAAGCATTCTACATACCAAAAATTAACTAGCTCACAAATGTGGGCACATGGTATAAGGTGCAATAAAATGGGAGTAGTCTTTTATTCGCTAAATCAAAGTGTCAAATGAGTGTGACTACAAAGAACTAGTCAAACAGATGGATGAATAAATGAATTGTAAAAAACAGTTTTAAAAAAGAAAGAGGCTTAACAAGGGATCTGATCAATGAACCATCTAAGTATTTTAACAGGAAGCTTCACAAGACCCACTGCCATATTCACCAGTCCTGCACAACAGCAGCAACATGGGCACAGACAACTCAGCACAGTCCTGCCATTCAAAAAGATTAACAAGAAAACAGAGGAAAATATTAGCAAAACAGAAACATAAAAATAAGACAACAGATAAAACATATAAAATCCTGCTTTCTTTGTAATTTTTATATTTTACCATTACAGTGGTGAAATTTTAAAGTAAATACAATGATGTTGTGCTTGAAAGTTGAAAGCCCCTAATGGGTGATTTGAATTTGAGATTGAAAGAAATTTTTTGAATACTGTACTCCCAAACATAACATAAAAGTTTTACACCACAGAATACCTGTGGAGGAGGTGTACTGAGATAATTTTGAGCCTACATGGCTGATCATATTGGAAAAGTTGCTTCTTCTTTTTTTTTTTAATAATAACCCAGTTTATCAAATATAAAAATAAAATAAAAATAAATGGAAAGCAGTGTGATAATTTGTTTGGTCTATGATAACAATTCGCTAAATAAAAAATAAAATATTTTTTCTAGGTTTGGGGGAAAAAAACAAGAAGAGTCTTTTTGTAAAAACAAAACCGCACACCAAATACTTGTAAAGGGAAGCATATAATACAACTTTCATGAAGTTATATCAATTTCGCATTGAATAAGTAGAACTGTAAAATACAAGGTAAATTAAATGGAAAACTATTGTCACGTAAATTTAGGGTTTTATGTAAAGAATGAAGAACATGAGAATAACAGATTGGGTAATAGTGAGAAAAGAAATTCAAAGAATTAAACCTACAGACATGTGGATTTTTCTCGTAAGCCCATAAAAATGTATTCAACTTAAACGCATTTAATAGTATTTGTTTAGGCCTTTCGGGTATAAAAGAATCATGTTTTTAGGGTTTTGACTAGTTGAGAATCAGAGAGTGAGAAAGCAAATAAAACTACAAAAATGGGAGATTTGTGATAGTTACCCAATAACCCAGATAACAGCACCCACTAGAGACAGAACCAAAGCAAGCAGAGCAAACGGCAATCCCAACAAGAAACCCAATGGCCTGCAATCTTCCATCCTTCAAGAACTCCACAAAGAAACTCAATTGCCTGCTCTTTCTCTCTCTATATATAATATATATATCTTTCTCTCTCTCTCTCTCTCAAATTTCTTCAAATATTTTGTGTTGCAAAGAGGAGTTGTTGGCCAATTTATGATTGGATTCCGCCGCGTCCAACTTGGACGCGGATGCGGAAATCACCAACCGATCTCCAGGCAGTCCACGCTGACAAAAGTACCCCTCTTAGAAAAACGGAACTCAAATAACAATAGTATAGTAGTCATAGGATTCGCGTCATTGGCGGTGGGTACTTTCGGTATGTGAATTTGTTATCCTTCATGTCTATGTTTCTTTCCTTTACGAGAGTCCATGTGATTTTTCTTTTTTTTTTTAGATGATTGTAGACTATTAATTCCAGTTAAATCAGTTATATATATATAATAATATATATATATATATATATATTATTATATTGATAAGAGCGAATTTGTTAGCCCTCGTGTATCTGTTTCTTTCCTTGTACGAGAGTCCATTCTGATTTTTTTTTTTTTTCTTTTCTATTTTTTTCTGAACAGTCCTCTTTTTTTATTTTCTTTCGTTTTTTTTATTAGCATATTTGCGGACAATTAACATTTAATGAACCACTTAAATCCAAACATCCAAACTCTTCAGTCGAGAAAATGAGCCAACAAAATTTTGGGATGTTTCAAAATCCAACTTTTTATGATAATAGGTTTTTAATACATTTTTTATTGTATTGGTACGAATGAATTTTTAAATTTATGTTTATTAAAAGATGGGTAAGCTGCAGTGGGAAAATTTAAAAGACATCCATTTATAATTTGGGGCAAGTGGGATCCAATTGTCCCCAAATTTGCAAAGTTGAACAATCACACCTTAACACTTTTTTAAAAGTATCTTATTACCCTGTGACTTTTGAATTGACCAATTTGAATCATAACATAATCATTTTAATCTTTTATAAATAATTTTAAGAAAATTAAAAAAAAAAAAAAAAAAATCTCAAGACCACCGATCATCAAATGGATAGTTTGGAAATGTTATAAAAAATAGGATTCAAATTGGTGCAATTGTTTAATCTAGTCAATGGTGCAATTGGTCAATTCAAATAGTCAAAGGGTAATAAGATACTTTAAGAGGTGTTGGGGTGTGATTGTTCCATAATCAGAGTAATTGTTTAATCAAGTCGATGTTAAATGGATGGTTTGGAAATATTATAACAAATAGGGTAAAAAAAAAAAAAAAAAAACCTTGAACTATTGCCCTTTTGCAAATAACTCCCTGAACTACAAATTGTCCTCCTGAACTATTGATTTGTTGCAATTAAGGATAAATCCATCACAAAATACTATTTTACCCATTCTCATTATATTTGTCATTTCTTATTAAAATATTTTTATTATATTTTCTCTTATCTCAATACTTAATTATATCATTTATCATAATATTATTATTAGTGTCAATTTATCATAAAAAATTAATAAATAAATTTGTAACTACCATCTTTTAGATTGATTAACTTATTATTAAAATTTTATTATTTATAATAAAACTTTTCAAATTCACTTTAAACATTTTTACCATAAAAATACCTTCTTTTTCATGCAATATATTCATGAAAAATTAATAAATAATTAAATAGAAAATATCTTCTTTTTATGCCATATATTCATAAGAAATTACTTAAATTGTTTTAAAATTTTCTACTTAAGATTTTTATTTAAAAAATTAAGGGTAAATTTATGTAAATTTAATGAAGAATATGTCACCAAATTAGTATAAATTTTTTTTTTCATAATTTATTTCAATAAGAAAAATAGATTAAGTATAATTCAATAAAAAATGACATTATGGTCATTTAAGAAATATAGCCAAGGCATAATTTATTTCAATAAGAAAAATAGATTAAATGTAATTCAATAAAAAATGGCATTATGGTCATTTAACAAATATAGTCAAGGCATTGTGGCATTTCACAACTAAATGTGATAGTTCATATTGTTTTATGCACAAAATATACTTTAAGATAGTTATTTACAAATTCCGACATAATTATTATAAAGAAATCTTAACAATTAGCTTTCAATGAATTAATCCAGAAGTGTCAAATGAATAAACACCTTCCAATAAATTTTCCCTAGGCAGTCCATTGTGATATTAATGTGTGCTATTAATTATTTTTTAAAATTTTTTATAGGAATGATACATAATAAGAATAAGAAAATAATATATATATATATATATATATATATATATATATATATATATATATATATAAGGGTAAAGTGCATTTAATTCCTTTAACTTTCACTGTTTTACGATACCTTTTTTTGCATTTTTTTTTTTTCAAAAAAATCCACTCAACTTATAACCAAGGGGGTTGTTTTTTTAATTTTTTTCCAAACTATCCCCACTAACCAATTCAAGGGGGTATGCAAGTTGCCCAATTGAGTGAATTTCGGTAAAAAAAAAATTTCTTTCTCAAATGATAATATTTCAACTTAATTAAAGAAAAATATAAAAAAGAGTAAAATTTATAGTTATAAGTGAAACTACATACAAGTTTAAATCTTATATGTTTACTCATATTATACTCATATTATATTATCTATATTATATTTTTTATTTTATATAATGTGTACATATATATAAGTATATGAGATGGATATTTGATCAAAAAATTAGATCTACAAAAATGAATTTTAATTACAAAAAGTAATTGAACGGTATAAAATAGTAGCATTTTTTCAATTTTTTTTTAATTGAAAAAAATGGTAAAAAAGAATATTAGAGAATTTAACTATGCTAAACATATGCTAAAAGCATCTCCAATAGTTGTCTATGTCTTTTTGTGTAAATCTGATGTGTCATAATAGATTAACACAAAAATTTTGGACTAATTATTTTTAGCTTCAGTCATTATTTTATACATTTTGTATAAAAATATATTTGCTAATAACAACCAACCACATGTCATACCCAATACCCATATAACTTTTACAAAACTACTTAACATAGGGGGAGAAAGAAAATATGTTGGTGTGGCCGTGTAAAAAGGTTATCCAAAATACACAATAATTTTACATATTGGTGAGGTGACAATGCATCTTAACATACTACTAAATAAATAAACAAGTTCTACACATTAGACCATCTCCAATGCAAAATGCCAATTTTGGATGCCAAATCTATGTTTTGAGATGAGCTATAGTATCAAAATGCTATATTTTAGCAATTCTGCTCCAATGGTGCATTTCATCCAAAATGCTATTTATTTAGCTTATTTGCCTTATTAATAATAATAATAATAATCAAATCCAACTGAGTTTTGAAATTAAAGCAACTTTTGGATTAACAGACATATATATACACACATATAAAAAGATAAACAATATCCCATCTTAAAAAATTATTTCCAATTAGTGGCCATTTTAAGTTTAATGTCCTAAATATTCTTTAATCACAAGAATGACACAACCCCACCATCACCGCCTCAATCTCTTCTCCACAGAAAATGGTTTTTTCCATCAAAATTGCAAAGAGTTCAACCTTACTTGTACATAAACCAACACTATCAAAATGAAAAATCAAAGCAACAGAGCGGAGGGATGTTTCACATACCTTGCGAAAGCCACTGTTGACAGCGAGCATCAAGCTTGCATTGTTTCAATTTGGCCTACCTGTTTGCCTGAAAACCCAAAATGAGAAACAATTAACGCACTAAACAACGTAATTAAATGAAAATTATAAGAGAGATTAACAAATAAAAAGAGAACAAAAAATCAAAGATATATATATCTTCGAAAATTGAATAACGAGATGAAGTGAAACTGCAAGCAATAGATTTTGAGAGAGATGAAATTGAACAGCGAGGGAAAATAGCATATATATATATATATATATATATATATATACACACACACACACACACTTATATGAGGATGAGAGGAGAAGAGAAAGTATAGATATGAGAAGATAAAATACAGGAAACGCCGTTCTCTTTCTGTCGCCCTAGAGAGCAATAGCAGTTGTTATATGTTGTGCTACATTTGGCATAAGATTTGGCAAAGTTATATTTTGGCAGCCCATTTGACAGCTCATTGGAGAGCCCATTTTAAACCCACCTGTTATATTTTGAAATTGGCAGCCCATTTGGCACACCATTGGAGTTGCTCTTATGTATACTTTACGCAAAAAGGTCTTTTAACACACTACTGGCATCTTTGATGATATTATTCCGTGTATGTCCTTACCCACAATGTTAAGTCCTATGTACTTTTTTATTATTGTATTTTATTTTTATTATTACTTTTAATGCTTATAAAATGGTAAAAAGGACGCACAATTGGCTATTCTAGGAGTGGGCAAATAATTCGTGAATCCGAAAATTCGATCTGATCTGTGCGAATCGGAACGGATTGCTACACCCACGGATCGGTGGCAGATTCAAAAAAATCAAATCCATAATTCATGGATCGAACCACGAATTAGGCTGTTAAAAATCCGATCCGATCTCATTTGTGAATATATTAGTTAATTTAATTAATTAATGATAATTTAATGGACTCTAAGAATGTATTAGTTAATAATTATTTAAATATATGAATTAATATTAATAAATTAAAATTTTATCTATTAGGTTATGGTTAAAAGATAAATAAATAATATTTATTATAAAAATAATAATAAATAATTTTGATAAAACCCAATTCGACCGAATCCGTTATTACACGGATCCGATCTGTTAAAATTGTCTAATTTATTAAGAACGAATCAGATTAGAATTAATGCCTAAATCGCGCCAACCCCTGCTATTCCTCCCATTAACTAGTTTTCTTTATCAAGAACCAGAATCCTTGAGCACTGGACCACCATCAAGGGTCAAGTCATTATTAATTACCAATTTACCATAAAACATGATGGCAGCCCTGAAAACTGAATAATGTTCATAAAATTATATTTTTAGACAAAACATGCATGCAATATTTCTTCCATAGACAAGGTAAAAAGTCACCTGGAAAGGAGAATTGGTAAGAGTAGTTTACACCTTTTTTTCTCTTGGAAATATAAAAATATGAATATATATTGACCCAAAATGTATATTATATAGTATTATATTATACGAAGGCTTCTGGGAACATTGGATGGATGTGGTTCTTGGTCCCACCATATTTGTGCATGTGGTTCGGTGTAAGTATTCAGTTGAATAATTCGTCCAGAGTAGCATTGTTGTATGCAGTATGTCCTCCTCCTCCGTGGGGCGTGAATCCCCTGTTGTTCATAACCCTGCAGTCCCCAGTACTTCAGTGCCAAATGCCGTGTTTGGCTTGGTAGAAGAAAAAAAAAAAAAAAAAAAAGTCAACAAATAGCACAGTAAACTTAACGTGCCAACTGTAAACCAAAAAAAAAAAAAGAAAATGCAAAAAAGGAAAGTTGAAATAAGTTGAAAATTTTGGCGCACCCACCCCCGCTTTTGCACTTTCACTTTCCCTTTCTTCCCTTTTGGTTTTGTTATTTCCCTCCTTCCCTTTTTGTTTTGTTCATTATTTCTTTTTAATTTCTTTAATCCAAACCCTAATTTGTCTCTCCTTGTTCCATAAAAAACATATTGCTTTTGAATTCCTTTTTTATTTAAAACCCTAATTCCTCCCTCCTCTATTTTTACTTTTTTATTTCCTTTTTTGAATCAAAACCCAGATTGCAGTGATTTCCTTCCAAAAATTGATGATTTCTTCAATAAGATTCTCCTCTTCATCTACAGGAAATAAATCTACAATGGATCTGAGCTGGTATCTACAATTGACCTAATTAACGCTTGATGGTTGGTAAGTCTTAATACATGTTATTAATATTGTGCATTTAATAGTATTTTTGTTTTGAACTGAACATGGTAGATTTAGAACTTAATTTATAATTCTTTCATTTGTCATCTGTCATTGTAGTGAATCTAAAATCTTTCATAATTGATTTTTTGAACTGACTTGGCTTCATTAGGTACCAATGTATTATCCAAAAATTTTGGTATTAAATGTATGCGGCAATTACACATTTCACAGGTTATTATTTGATATTTATAAGAAAATAAACATTGCGAAGTTTCTTAAATTAGAACATTGATGACTTTCACCATTAAAACAAGATATTGACATAGTGCTAACTAACTTATGTCACACATAAATGTAAGAATTTATGATTCTTTCATTTGTCATCTGTTAGTATAAATTATGATATTTTTTTAGTTGAAATTGACATTGGTTAAGCATTCTAGTGAATCTTAAATCTTGGATAATTATAGAATTTTCTTCTATAATCTTCAATAAGCATTGTAGTGAATTTAAAATCTTCCATAATTGATTTTTTGAACTGAGTTGGCTTCATTAGGTACCAATGTGGTATCCAAAATTTTTGGTATTAAATGTATGCGGCAATTACACATTTCATAGGTTATTATTTGATATTTATGAGAAAATAAACATTACGAAGTTAGATAAATTGGCACACTGATCACCTTCACCATTAAAATAAGGTATTCACACAGTACTGACTAACTTATGTCACACATAAATGTAAGAATTTATAATTCTTTCATTTGTCATATGTCAGTGTAAATTATGATATTTTTTAGTTAAAATTGACATTGGTTAAGCATTCTAATGTATCTGAAATCTTGGATAATTGTAGTATTTTCTTCTATAATCTTGAATAAGCATTGCAGTGAATCTAAAATCTTCCATAATTGATTTTTTGAACTGAGTTGGTTTCATTATGTACCAATGTGTTATCCAAAAATTTTGGTATTAAATGTATGTGGCAATAACACATTTCACAAATTATTATTTGATATTTATAAGAAAATAAACATTGCGAAGTTTAATAAATAGGTACACTGATCACCTTCACCATCAAAATAAGGTATTAACACAACGCTGAATAACTAATGTCACACATAAATTTAAGATTTTTTTATTCTTTCATTTGTCATCTGTTAGTGTAAATTATGATATTTTTTAGTTAAAATTGACATTGGTTAAGTATTCTAGTGTATCTGAAATCTTGAATAATTGTAAGGTTTTCTTCTATAATCTTCAATAAGTATTCTAGTGAATGTAAAATCTTCCATAATTGATTTTTTGAACTGAGTTGGCTTCATTAGGTACCAATGTGTTATCCAAAATTTTAGGCTTTAAATGTATATGCCAATTACACATTTCACAGATTATTATTTGATATTTATGAGGAAAAAAACATTGTGAAGTTAAATAAATAGGCACACTGATCACCTTTACCATCAAAATAAGGTATTAACACAGTGCTGAAAAACTAATATCACACATAAATTTAAGAAATTTTAATTCTTTCATTTGTCATCTGTTAGTATAAATTATGATATTTTTTAGTTGAAATTGACATTGGTTAAGCATTCTAGTGTATCTGAAATCTTGGATAATTATAGGGTTTTTTTGGCCCTTTTTATTAGTTCGGTAAATATTTAGTATTTTTTTTTTATCGTCGCAAGTTATAGAATCTGACTTTAACCTTCTGATGGACCTTTTGCTTCTTGTAGCATTCATACTGAAGTTATCCCAATGGACTACGACTTAAGTACTAATGATGTGAGAACAAACATTCAAATTGTTACCGAAATCAATATTTCCGAAAGCTTAGCAGCAAAAGTTGTCAATCCCATTGAGATAGAATTCACACCAAAATTGAACATGCAGTTTGACACTGAGGATGAAGCATATAACTTTTACAATGCTTATGGGGGTAAAGTTGGATTCAGTATTCGTAAGAATTATGCAAATAAAAGTCGTAAAACAGGAAATATTACAACAAGCAAGTTTGTGTGTTCCAAACAAGGTTTTAGGGTGAAAGGCAAGAGGGATATGCAAACAAGAAAGCCAAGGGCTGAAACTCGAACCAGTTGTGGTGTACTGATGCAAATTAAATATGACCGCAAGAAGGGAAAGTATGTTGTATATAATTTTGTCGAATCTCACAATCATCCTATGATAATTGAAGAATGCACACATATGATGCCATCACAACAAAGAATAAGTGTTGCCCAAGCAATTGATGTGGAATTGGCCTGCCAATCTAGAGTTCCACTCGATAATGCGTTTGAGTTAATAAGCAGGCAGGCTTGTGGGAGACAATCAATTGGCTACACCAAAGTTAATCAACAAAATTTTCTAAGGACCAGAAGACAGAATGAGTTAGAATACGGAGAGAAGACGTGACAAATGAATTATTTCAAAATTCAATCTTATGAGAATCAATTTCAAGGTGACATGGTTCTGTGAATGGCATCTGTTTATTTTCTCCAATGATGGCGATACTTAGTTGCCTCTTGCATATGGCGATTTTATGTTAGACAATGTTTATTTTCTCCAATGATGGTGATACTTAGTTGCCTCTTGCATATGGCGATTTTATGTTAGACAATGCTAATTAAACTGTCCATCCCAAAAGTTCCATTATGTTACTTCAAAAGCTAAATACAACATCACACTACATACATTACAATACATACATTGTATTACGTATATCACATTACATACACAAAACGACGTCAACGGTTACCATTAGTTGACTATGACTTTTTCTCCAATGATGCCAGACACCATCAGTATGTGGAGATCACAGTGGCAAAGATTACATTTTATTTTCTCCTCATTTATTCGCTGGACCATCCATCATTTGATGTGAACCATGTTACCTTCACAGTTCGGTGGTCCATAATCTTCCTCACAACAAGCGGGGATGTTAAGAAATAACCCATTTGACCACCCAAGTTGGGATACACATTTGACAAATTAATCAATCGAGCATCTGTACCAATGATTCTAATTTTTCTACGGATAAAAGTTCAATTAAATAATAAATTACAAAACAAAAATAATATAAACAAGAGAGTGTGCCTCAAATAATTAAACAATAATAGGAGGGAAGGGAAGGCAAAATGACATAATACCTTTTGTTTGAGGGCTTGTTTTGGTGCATTTTTTTTCCTTTCCGCTTCTTCCTTTTCCCACTTATCCTTGAAAGGTTGCTTTTCACTTTCACTAATTTTATTCCAAACTTTTCCGGCATTTTTATTGATTTGTGCATAATCAAGTCTTCTCCAATTCTTGAAAGGGTTTTCTGCTTTGCACTTATCTTGATAATATTTCCTGAGATTATAAACACAATGAATAATTACAAAATTTAATACATTTAAATTTTTCTAAACTTTATTTTTTAATTACATTGCCACTTTGTTTTCCATACATCAACATATATATCACTAAGGTAAGAACATTGGTGCAATACATTACTTCTAAAAAAAATATAATTAAATCAAGTTTAGTTAAAAAAAAGGAGTTAAAATCAATACCAAGGATCTTCATAACATTACTTGATAACATCACACTCCACAAAATAAGTCCAGCACAAACAATTTTGCAAGAGCTTTTTTAAATGGGCACGAATAGGGATGGCAATGGGGCGGTTTGGGGCTGGTTTTCCATTCCCCATCCCCGCCCCCGTTTAATTTTGGTACCCCCAAAACCGCCCCAAAACCGTTTACATTTTTGCTTCTAATCCCCACAACCGCCCCCACCCGGCCCCGTCTTCCCCGCCCCCGCCCTATAACCGGTTAAATTTGAAAATTTTGATTTTTTTATTCTACACAAGTTCTGCAGCAGAACCACATAAATCTGAAATCTGAACTACACATAATTCTACACAAGTTCTATAACAGAACCTCAACATCATCCAACATCATCATTCATTAACCAAAAATAACATTTTTAGCATAACCACATAAATCTAAAATCTGAACTTCTGTAACAGAACCTTATAAATCTGAACATTCATGCAACATCATCCAACATCATTATTTAAATAACATTCTTACAAGTTCCAACATAAAGTAATCAAATTAAAGCAACAACCTTCCACCAAACAAAGAAAAAAAAAATCCAAATTTCCAACAAACAAACATAAGTTTTCCAACAGCAGCCTTAATTAAGAGGAATAAAACTACTCAAAACACTAGCCAGAATCTGAAACCATTCTTTGTCATCTCTTCAAAACCACCAATTGTCACCAACCTAATCTGAAACAGAATAAAAACAATGAATTTTTTTAAAACAATGTTAAGTCAAGAAAAAACAATAATGTATAATAATAAAAAAAATAATGTAATACCTTAGTCCAAAGCTTCATAATTTAGAGAATCATCATCATCACAATCACAAAATATATTGACATTGGATGGGTCTATGTTCGAATGAGCTCCTAAAAACAAAACAAAACATTTTAGATAGCTATTACATTAAAGAGAATTTATTTAACAAAAAAAATCAGATTTAATTACCATTCTCTTCACTCAACAACCATCTTTGAGCACACATCAAAGCCTCCAAAGTAGTTGGATGAAGTCTACTGTGATGAGGACTGACCATTCTGCCACCGGTGCTGAAGGCAAACTCTGATGCAACTGTAGACACCGGGATAGCTAAAATATCCCGAGCAATCCTTTTCAAAAGAGGATACTTAATTCCATGTGTTTTTCACCAACCCAAGACATCAAAATCAGGTTCTATAGACAACATTTTTTCTTTCAAGTAAAAGTCCAACTCAGTCATTGTGTGCACTTCATTTGAACTCGAGCCTACAAATCGGTCATACTTTAACAAATCATCATCCTCCGCAACTTCCATTTGTTCATCAAGAAAAGTAACATTGGAAGATTAACCACCTACCATACTTTTATTTGAGCTTGACTTGTTTTGGTACTCGAAAAGTAAATCAACACAAATTTGTCGAACTCTTTGAACTTCAACCAATGCTTCTTGTCCATAAATTTTATTAAAATAATATTCAACTAGCTTCATCTTGTATCATGGATCTAAAACCACCGCCACCGCCATCACCTCATGACAAACATTCCAATATTTCTCATATTTAACCAACATTTTTGATGTCATCACTCTAATGATCTCAAGTGGACTTTCAAGCCAAGTAGACAATGTAACTCTGATTTCACAAACTTTTTGGAAATAACAATTTAAAGTAGGATAAGAAGACCCTGAAAACAACTCTGTAGCAGATTGGAATAATTTCAACTTCGCATAAATTTCTTTCCCCCTTTCCCAATCTTCATTAGTTGGAACTTTAGTGAAAAGCCTATTGCGTTGTTTTGCCCGTGGAAACACATCTTTATACATTAAAGCGACTTGAAGCATAAGATATGTAGAGTTCCAACGGGTTTTACTATCCATAACTAACTTTTCTTATATGGAATCTTCAATTGGCGAGCTGCCTCTTCAAAATTTTCAAGTCTACTTGGTGTTGTAGTCCAAAAATACACACTATCACGTATCCTTTCAATTCCATCCCCCATTACTTCTAACCCATCTTTCACAATCAAGTTCAAGATGTGTGCACAACATCTCATGTGAAGAATCTTCCCATTAAGTAAAAATGTACTTGAATCAACCTTATCTAAGATTGTACCAATGATGGCATCGCATGTGGTGCAATTATCTAAGGTAATGGTGGACAAATTTCTATCAAAATTCCAATCTAACATGGTATCAATAAGCAACTGAGAAAGAACTTCCTTATTGTGTGGAGCAGGTACATAGGTAAATCTAAAATATATTAAAATGAAAATATGCATAATTAATAAACATATATGAAGTGAAACAAAAAATTGCATTATATGAAATAAATAATAAATATATTAAAAATAAAAATAAAATTACCTCAAAATTCTTCGTTGCAATCTCCATGAGTCATTGATAAAGTGAGCTGTTTCTACCATGAAACCTTTCTTTGAGTGGTTACAAGTCCACATATCAAAAGTGATGGCAACCCTACAATTAAGACTCTCCATAAATGTCAATGTTTTTGCCTTCTCAGAATTGTAGATCTTTAAGATATCACTCTTGATTGTGTTTCGAGAAACCATGTTAAACATTGGTTGAAGGCTATTAACAAAACTTCGAAAGCGACAATGGTTAACCATGGCAAGGGGATACTCATGCACTATGATCATGCAAGCAAACTCATGTCAGGAGATATTTTGATCAAACACAAAATTACGATATTCCACTTGATTCATTTGACCTTCAATCTTTTTGACATTGCCTTGCAAAACATATTGTCTTAAGTCACCATCTTTTTTATGTTTCTTACACCTTGTTAAATGATCACGCAGGCTACTTGTTCCATAACTAGCTGGTGCTTTCAACTTTTTTTTACAATGGTTGCAAACACCACATTGTACACCATCAACTGTTTGCTTAGTAAAGTCATTCCAAACAAGTGACGTCAATTTTCTCTTCCTATTTATATCATCTGCTACATCTTCATCAGGGACATTAACAGATGAGGAAACAACTGGAGTTACATTAGCATTTGCTGAAGGCAGTTGAGAATGAGAACTTACAGATTCTCCTTCCAACTCCGGCTCCAACATATTTCAATTTACTGTTTTTAGATATAAAAAAATGCAAATCAAAATATAAAAGTAGTAGAAAGATATAAAAATCCAACAGACATACACATAAATAAATAAACAATACAAATGAAAAAGGAATTAGTATAGAACACTGCTATAAAAAGAACTATTATGTGGGCACTAGGATTAATTGAAGAAGTCGGTTAAAAAGCATAAAGCACAAATCTCTATCTAGAAAAGCATACAGAATAAGTATCAAAAAAATATATGATAGAATCTCTGTAAAACAAATATATATCTATATAAGCGGTAGAAAATGATTGAACACAATTGACAAAAACAAAAATGACATTTTAATAACAGTGAAATTGATTAGGACTTAAGACAGACCACTAATGTTGGGATTGTAATATTATATGGAATACAGCAGCCGACAAATCCGAAACACTAAACAGAGATTACAATAATGTGAAGATGAAAACAATGACATTTTATCATATTAGCTTATTCTAACACATACGGCAGACAAATCACAGAATCAAAGTCAACTATATTTGAATATGGACTATAATCAACTTTAAGATTCAATTTTTATTAATAAAAATATTATTGAACCCTAAATCAATTCCAGATTATAATGCATACAAAAAGCAAAGATAAAAATATCAATCAGTTCCAAAAGACTAATCAAATTCAAACAAAAAAGCTCCGTTTTGCAACATTAAAAATCAACAACATTGCTTGCAAATATACAAATCTTACAGAGACAAGATTGAGAGAGAGCGATATATATATATATATACACACACACATACCTGTTTGAAGAGCTCAAATTGGAGGTTGTGGAGTATACTAGCCTGCCTATTGAGCTAGTTGTGACAATAGTGCAAAAGTAGTCCAAACCAATGACCCAAGGTTCTATAGAGGAACAAGATACACTGAGAGGAAGTATCATGTTCTACATGATATTGTCTGGCAAGAAAATATACTTGTAGCTAGAACATTGCATTGGAACACAACTTTGTTGATCTATTATCAAAGGTGTCATTGATCAATAATTTTGATCATCATCTGGATAACATTGGAGTTAGGTGCAATTTGAATTGGCTATGAGGGCAAGTGGGAGCTGTTGGGATTTATATGCCCTAGCGTAGCAAATTCCTGTTTGGATTAAAGTGATATATGTTCCTGACGTTTCTGAAATATTTATGTTTTATACAATTGGTGAATTCAATTTATTATTTTTCGATTCATTATAGAATTGATAGTGTCCATTTGATTACAAGAGATATTTATATATATGTATGTGATGGCAATCAATGCATGATATATAAACAGTAATCATAAATGGTTCATAGTCGGTAATTATGGATGGACTCATAATTAATTAAGATTTAAACTAGATCCGCGTTAGGTTGAGATATATTGCGAGAGCTGTCGTATGCAATTACTCCCTATCACCGTCATGGCATTTGACTCTTAAGTATGAGAAAATTATAGACTCTTTTATTAATTAATAATTACTTTGATTTGTTCGGCAGATTCTTCGGGATCCTTAGACCGACACTTTGGGTAATTATGTAATTAATAGTTAGAGAGTTATATTTTCAATATTTGTATCATTGCTACTTGTATTTATTTTGTATTGATTATGGTTGATCACAAAGTAAATTTGAATGCCTTCGTCTGTTTTTAGACAAAATGATTTATTATATATATATATTTATTTAAATTATTATTTTTTGTCAAACAAATGTTTTATTGTGATCAAGCCAGAAATAATCAAAGGTACCAAAATAAATATATTAATTAAGTAGTCGGATTGATGGCATTATTTATCCGATAACTAATTGTGCATAGAGGGGTCAAAGTGCAACATTGACTTAGAGGTTATTTATTATTTAATTGGAGTTCAATTAATTTATTTTAGTGGAGTAGAAATTAATTTATGAATTAATTTAATTGGATCCATGGATCGGGCCAATTATTAATTCATTATAGCCAATAAAAATAATAAGCCGAAAGGATTCTCACTCATAGCCCAACTTGATATTGGAATCATATTAGATTTGAGATATGTGAATTAGATATTGAGAAGGATTTATAGTTTCCTTTTCCTTATCTTTATGTTGCCTATATATATACATGGTCTATGTATATTTTGGGGGTGATTTTTATGAGAAGGAAAAAGGAATAAATTTTCTCTCTCTAGAAAATTAGGGTTAGTGTTCTCATTTAATAGAGGCTCCCACAAGCCTAATTTTCCAAGGTCATTCATGGAGGCTTATGAGTGATTCCTAAAGGCAAAATAATTACTAAGAAGATGGAGATCCAAGGAGAATGCATCTTGTTAAAAGATCTACAATAAGTGAGAACATTCACTTTAGAGGAAAGATTTAAAGATTTACTCAGACCTTTTGATGTAAGTATTCAATCCATTAATTGAATGATACATCATATTTTTATTTTTGCATAAAACTTGTCTCTATGTGATGAATCAAGATTTATGAATCAAAATCCCTCGAAAAGTTTTTAAAACTTGCACGTTTCCCAACAGTGGTATCAGAGCATGGTTTGATTCATTACTAGAGATCATGATTTTATGAAAATCATCATTTATGGATCCAAAATTATATTCATATATATTTTTATTGATGTATGTTGATGTATGATTTAATATGTTGATATATATTGATACATGATAATGTATGAATAATTGTGAATGAATGATAATGTATGGTTGGGCCATGGATGAAGCTTATAGGTTAAATTAATGTAATTTTATCTTTGGATGAATGTAATTAAGGCTTTGATTTAGCCGTTTGAAAGTTCAATGATGTAATTTAATTTTTTTCATTGTATTTTAAATTGCAAATTTATTTCAAGCCATGTAATATTCATCAAAGGGTGCTATAAAGCTTCAAGAAGGTCCAAAAGGGTTAAATTAGGCTTCAGGAATTTTCTAGAATTTTTTCAGAATTTTTCTGGAATTTTTTTGGCTTAATTTATAGTTT